GCCTTCCACTCGGCCTCTCCATCCATCCATCCAGCTCAACCATGGCACCCCTCAAGGTATTGGCTGGCACCACACGTGTTGCAGTGGTCTCTTTGGTTTTCTTTTAACGATTAGCAAAGAAAAAAATGCGAAAAGGTGACTTCTGTTCCATTCCTCAAGCAGCGACGAGTGAATGTGCGACTGTGGAATTCAGACAACTCCGGTTTAACATCCTAGTGATAATAGTGTTCATTTTACTTTCATTAATGGAATGGTAAATGAAAGTGAGTGTAAGTGTGTAAGTATCTATTGGTGAGAGAGAGCATTTGTGTGTGTTTATATATATCTATATATTTATACATATTTATATCTATCTATCTATCTATATACGTATATATATATATATATATATATATATATATATATATATATATATATATATATATAGAGAGAGAGAGAGAGAGAGAGAGAGAGAGAGAGAGAGAGAGAGAGAGATTGATAGACAGATATATGTACATTTATCTCTCTCTCTCTCTCTCTATCTATCTATCTATCTGTCTATATATATACATATATATACATATATATATATATATATATATATATATATATATATATATATATATGTGTGTGTGTGTGTGTGTGTGTGTGTGTGTGTGTGTGTGTGTGTGTGTGTGTGTGTGTGTGTGTGTGTGTGTGTGTGTGTGTGTGTGTGTGTATGTGTATGTGTATGTATATGTACACACATACACATATGTATATGTATATATATATATATATATATATATATATATATATATATATATATATATATATATATCAACAAAACCAAACTCACATTACACTATATATATATTTATACATATATGTATGTATGTGTATGTGTATGTGTATGTATATGTATATGTATATGTATATGTATATGTATATGTATATGTATATGTATATGTATATGTATATGTATATGTATATGTATATGTATATATATGCATATATGTATATATGTACGTAAATGTGTATGTGTGTATATGTATTTATATGCATATACATTTGCATATGTATATATGTACATATATATGTATGTATGTATGTATGTGTGTGTGTGTGTGTGTGTGTGTGTGTGTGTGTGTGTGTGTGTGTGTGTGTGTGTGTGTGTGTGTGTGTGTGTGTGTGTGTGTGTATGTGTGTGTGTGTGTGTGTGTATATGTGTGTGTGTGTATGTGTGTGTGTGTATGTGTGTGTGTGTATGTGTGTGTGTGTATGTGTGTGTGTGTATGTGTGTGTGTGTGTGTGTGTGTGTGTGTGTGTATGTGTGTGTGTGTATGTGTGTGTGTGTGTGTGTGTGTGTGTGTGTGTGTGTGTGTGTGTGTGTGTGTGTGTGTGTGTGTGTGTGTGTGTGTGTGTGTGTGTGTATGTATGTATATGTATGTATATGTGTGTGTGTGTGTGTGTGTGTGTGTGTGTGTGTGTGTGTGTGTGTGTGTGTGTGTGTGTGTGTGTGTGTGTGTGTGTGTGTGTGTGTGTGTATGTGTATGTGTATGTGTATGTGTATGTGTATGTGTATGTGTATGTGTATGTGTATGTGTATGTGTATGTATATGTACACACACACACATATGTATATGTATATATATATATATATATATATATATATATATATATATATATATATATATATATATATATATATATATATCAACAAAACCAAACTCACATTACACCAATACCTCGCAAACAGGAGTTCCCACTTTAACTGCCGAGGAGAGCAAAGCCCAAGGAACATATTTAGCAATTTCCCGTCCCTTAAAGCAGGACTTCCGGCTCCTTCGACGCTGCCGCCTGCCATACACACTCCACTTACGTCCCAAGGGCAATATCCACTTGCCCTTCTCAATGGCTTATTTTGCCGGCGGCCTTTCCGCAAAAATCCATGCCTTAATACCAAGCCCTTTGGCGGCCACGAAAGCCCAGTAATGCATCTCGAACTTGGCCCAACTCGCTCAAATGGACGCCCACTTCGGTGCCTCTCTCGGGAGGGGTATATTTCCCACATAAAATATTTCCTCTTTCCTGGCCGCCCGCCTCCGCCATCAACGAATTATTGTCAAATTTCCATGACTGGTGTCCGAGCACTGCATTAGATCGAGCAGTGAAAGAGATGTCCTGACCCCCTCCCCTCCCTTCCCTCCCTCCCCTAAACTATGCCTCAAAACAGGAGACCTTGCCTCCCCACCCCCACCCCCCAAAAAAAAAATGTCTACAGCTTGTTCCTAGGCAAATATCCTTCAAGAACTAAAAAAGAGCCACTGAAAGAAAAGCAAACAGCCGATTTTTTGTAAGTAAAAAAAAAAAAAAAAAAGGAACAAAAAATAGTGCGACAAAAAGGCACGTCTTGCGTCGCGGACCCTTGGCCGAGCACAACGCACGGGCTCTGGGCACAAGTTCTCTCATTAAGGAACTAATTCGTCATGGCGCTTATTAATCACCTGCGGCATCCCACGCGATATTCAGACTTAGCTATAAATGTTCCCATGAAATTTTCAGGCCCGTGAGCAACCAATTAGGGCAACATTTCCAGAGCATTTCCTCCGCATGAAGTTAATATGGCAATTAGCTCCGAGTACTGAAACTTTGCGGGAACTATTCTGGATATTTGATCATCGGCCATATTGTAGTTCAACGCATTACACAGCAACCAGTCCGCGTTTTATTAATCTCGAACTTCACTTAATCTTGTATCCTCAATACCAGTCGAGTGACCCGCCATGGTAGTTACCGAAGCTAAGTGAAAACGGAAACTTTATATTACGTTCACATAAATTGACCCTTTTTTATGATGTAATTTTTGTTTTCTCTCTTTTTTCGATTTCATATTTTTTGTGTTTGTTTTTTTCGGACTCTCTCTTATATACATATATATCCAATTACTTCAAATAATCCTCTTATCTCGGTTTTCTTGCTCAGCTGCACCGTCGTTCCATAAAATGCTCAAATCCTTCGGAAATTAGCCGCGTAGACAGGTCAAGCTAATCTCGCTATGATCTCAAATATGCTGGTAAACAACTCAGCAATCAGCTTCTCCCTATCCCCCCCCCTCTCTCTCTCTCTCTCTCTCTCTCTCTCTCTCTCTCTCTCTCTCTCTCTCTCTCTCTCTCTCTCTCTCTCTCTCTCTCTCTCTCTCTCACACACACACGCATATGCAGAAATAGGCCCAGCACATACATCGCGATCAGGACCTCAGGAAAATTCACATTTATTAAGTCGATCCATCTCCCTTTCTTCTCCCATCCTTCTGTCCGCTTCCTAGTTTCCTTTTCACGCTTCGATTTCCCTTCCCCCAGGCCCTTCTACTCCACCACTTCACCCTCCCCCCTCCTTCACCACCATCTCCTCCTCCTCCTCCTCTCTCTCCTCCTCCTCCCTCTTCTCCTCCTCCTCCTCCTCCTCCTCCTCTCCCTTCTCCTTCTACTACTCCCCAACTACTTTTATCCCTTCATTATTACTCCACCAGTTCCACCAACACCACCCCTTCCTCCTCCTTTTTCTACTTATCCCACTCGTTCTCCTCATTCCTCCTCCCCCCCATCCACTCAGCATGAGGATAATCTTCGTACCCACGAACGTGTCATAGTGTCGCCTTTCCTCAACACTCTCTTCAGTTCGCTCCACCGAATCCCCCCCCCCCCCCTCATCCCTCCAACACAAAACATTCCATAAAAGGCGTGGCGAGAGCTCCCCTCTCCCCCCCTCTCTCCTTCCCTTCCTAACTTCATCTCTGCTCTTACCTGCTGTTCCTCAGTAACCATCCGCTTTAACCTGATTCGCCGAAGAGTATTTCCGTCCTTTTTACGGCGGGGGGAAACTCGATAGATCTGTATTTTTTTCTTCAATACCGCAAGTCTTCTACTGCATCCGCCACCGCCGCCCCCACCGCCGCCGCCACCGAGTCCGCCACCGCTCTGGGACCGGGTTCTGTTTTCCCAATACTCTAAGAAAATAAGATTGAAAAGGAAGCCCAACTCAATTTTCTGCTCTACACCACCACAGGGCGCGGACTGCGGTCGTTCTGATTTCTTTGGCCGAAAACTCAAGTCGAGATACAATATTTTCCGATGCACTTTCCCGTCCATATGTAATTTCTACGCTATAGCTTCTAGGATCTTTACTTTTTCCTACTTCTTTTTATTGTTGTGTTTCTGTACCCGGCGCACATGTTCTGAGTACTGTGGAAGACTACGTAAGATTTTTGCGCGCCCCGTGTAAGTTTATGTGGCGGCGCTGCAATAACATATACAAGGGCTAGATAAGAAGGCTCTTACAGCGTAATATTACGAGGCAAGAGAGATATAGCAAGAGGAAATACTGCACCAGAGAGAGAAAGAAGAGAGAGAAAAGAGATAGAAAGAGAGAGTGGCGAGGTAATGCTCATGAGGAGGTCCCGGGGCAGCTGGAAATAGCCGCAGCGCGCGCCAGCTGACGGGAAATCTGCACAGCGACTTTTAACAACCAATTACTCCGACCGAAGACATCGTTCAATGCAGCCCAAGTTATATAACCGACTTTTTCATCCTCCCGGAGAAAATTTCTAATTCAATCTCCTCTTGTCAGCAAACCGAGAATCTTATAAACTACGCACACACACACACACACACACACACACACACACACACACACACACACACACACACACATATACACACACACACACGCATGTATGCACACATATACGCATATATATAAATATATATATATATATATATATATATATATATATATATATATATATATATATATATATATATATATATAAATATATATATATATATATATATATATATATATATATATATATAAATATATATATATATATATATATATATATATATATATATATATATATATATATATATATATATATATATATTTATATATATATATATATATATATATATATATATATATATATATATATATATATATATATATGTATGTGTGTGTGTGAATGTATATAGAAAGTATATATGTGTGTATATATAGATATATAAGTATATTTGTGTATGTATGTGTATATATAAATAAATACATAATCATATACATAACCATATATATAACCATATATATAAATATATATATACATATATATATATATATATATATATATATATATATATATATATATATATATATATATATATATATATATATATATATATATATATATATATATATATATATATATATATATATATATATATATATATATATATATATATATATATATCCGAGGCAGTCCCAATCATGAACTTCCTTATCATATCGCGTTCCCATAAACAATCTCCTGCACCCGTAGCTGCCCTCAAATTACAGTGAGTTGAAAGCAATTTGAGAAAGGATGACTGACAGCTCTTAATGAACTTCCAGTAATCACGGTTTGGTTAATTACATGCCGACGAGGTAAGCGGTTTCTTAACAACCGCCAAATTTCTTGCCTCCAGTAATTCTGCATCTTAAATTGCAGATTACTTCGCAACGGACTCAGAATCTAAGAAAATGAATATGGAAAATATTTTTCTCTTAGGGATACATATTGACTTGTGTGTCAACAATGGCAATCCATATACAGGATGTCTGGGAAAACCTCCGTCTGTTCTCCCTGCAGCCTCACCTGCGCGCCCCTCCCCCTCTCCTCCACACTCCCCAGCCATCCTCCCACCCTCTCCTCTTCACTCCTCCCTCCCCTCCTTCCTTCTCCCCTTCCTGACGTCCCCTCTCTCCCCTCCCTCCATCTCCCCTTCCTGGCATCCCCCACATCCTCTCCTTCATCTCCCCTTCCTGACGTCCCCTCTCTCCCCTCCCTCCATCTCCCCTTCCAGGTGGCTCCCATCCATCTCGCCTTCTTGGTGTCCCCCACATCCCCTCCTTCCCCTGCCCCGTTCGCCGTGACCCGGGTGCCCCAGCGACCGCCGCCGCCACGCCTCGGAAGACCCATTTCCTCCGCCCTCCCTCACTTTTTCCCCCTTCCGGAGAAAAGAATATGTACGGCGCGCATTACATAATGCCGGGGATGTCCTACTTCCCACTCGTAATGAGATGCTTCTCTGCAGTGATGTTCTGCAATATTACTGCTATGGATTGGGTGATTATGCCCCCTCCCATTACAACCTCTTTACGTCCATGCACGTCAATACATAGGTAAACGCACACCAATAAACACGCACAAACACGCACAAACACACACATACACACACACACACACACACAAACAGACACATACACACAAACAAGCAAACAAAAACAAACAACCACTTTTTTGAACGAGAATAATTCCCCCCCGTAGCTCGGATGAAAAATAGCAGAGGCGTCGCGCCGTGTCATCGAAGGAGTCCCGCCGCTGGCCGGAAGGCGCGAGGGACGGGCGCCGCGGAGCACCCCCGGCGTGTCACTTCGTCCCACTAATGGCATGTATTTCCTCCCCAGATCAGCGCCGCCCTCCTGGCCTTGGCCGCCCTCGCCTCGGCCGCCCCCTCCGATCCCTACCGCCCAGTGTACACGCCCGCGCCCTACCACCCTCCGCCCCCGGTCTATCTCCCTGAGCCCGTGTACAAGCCCGAACCCGTCTACAAGCCGAAGCCTGTGTACCACCCCAAGCCCGTTTACAAACCTGAGCCTGTATACAAACCCGCACCCGTGTACGAGCCCGAGCCCGTGTACAAGCCTGAGCCCGTGTACAAGCCTGAGCCCGTGTACAAGCCTGAGCCCGTGTACAAGCCTGAGCCCGCATACAAGCCCAAGCCCGTGTACAAGCCCGACCCCTACCACCCAAAGCCCGTCTACGATGAGGTAAGACCCCTTGTCCATTGGAGTGCCCGAAATGACAACATTCAGCCGCGTTTCCCTTCCAGGTCTCTCTCCTCCTCAGCCAAGACTAACCCTCTCTCCTCTCCTCCCTCAGGAGCCCAAGCCCTACTCCTTCGACTACGGCGTGAAGGACCACTACTCCGGCGCCAACTTCGGCCACACCGAGAACTCCGACGGGAAGGCCGTGAAGGGCTCGTACACCGTGGCCCTCCCCGACGGCCGCATCCAGACCGTCAACTACGTGGCCGACCACTACAACGGCTTCCAGGCTGAGGTCACCTACGAGGGCGAGCCCAAATACCCCGAGTACCACCCCGAGCCCGCCTACAAGCCCGCCCCCTACCATCCCCCCGCCCCTGCATACAAGCCCGCTCCCAAGCCCGTGTACCACCCCGAGCCCGTGTACAAGCCCGCCCCCTACAAGCCCGCCCCTTACAAGCCCCCTACGTACCTCCCCGAACCCGCCTACCCCGCGTACCATTAATCAATTCGTCATCTAAATTAAGCTTTACACATTTTACCGTCGCGTAAATTATCGTTTCCCTTCGTGCGTATCCTCCTCACCTCACTAGGATTTTTTTTTTCAAATAACAGTTCTTCTGCTGCAAGTCATGCTCTTGTAAATCCACACAAAAATGCAAACCGTTTAAAAACTCCAATATC